TCACTCTGTCTCTGGTGAATCCTCTCACCCCCCACATCTCTGGCCTGTACCCCAACTCTTGTATGCATAAATAAATAAATCTTAAAAAAAAAAAAAAAAGACACTGAGGCCGTGTCAGGTCTCAAGGGGGAAAACAGTATCATGATCGGTTACTAAAAGTCTGCCATGGCTGCAGGATATGAGTTATATATTTAAATTTGTCCATGTATTTTATTTTGGAAAGAGAAAAGTAAAAACACTTTTAGAAGAAACCAGGAAAAAAGTGAGAACAGAACCATTTGAGATTCAGCAAATATCACTCACCAAGTGCTAGGCCCTGGAAGTAACTATAGAATATGAAACGTTCTTTGTGAATCTGAGGGTGTCAGGAAAGGCTTTGTAGGGGTAACCACTAAGATGAATCCTGAAGTGGGACCCAGCCAGGCAAAAGGAAGGTGGTGGGCTGGAGAGGAGTAGTCCGCCAGGCAGAGATGGAAAAGGTTAAGTTCCAGAGGCAAGCAAAGGCACGGAACCCCTGTGGCTACTAGTCACTCAGAAAGGCTGCAGCCCAGACTGAGGGGTAATAGGGAACCACTGATGCTTTTAGGCAGGGAGTGAATGACTACATGACATCTAAGTCACTCCCTGCCCTTACCTCCTGCCTCTACCCCAATTGCTAATGCTCTAGAACAGCTGTCTAGTTGACCTAGAATGTGAGCGCAGGCCTCACACAAGTCAGTTGCAAGATGATCAGTCAGAAGAGAGATCCTATTACTGGGTCAAAGTGGAGAAAGAAAAATGACGGAGGGCTGGGCAGTGTACGACCTGTACAACTCGAGGGATTCAGGCTGAAGCTGAGGGAGATGGGCCATACTTGAGTGGCCCAAGGAATCAGCATTCATCAAGTCCAACCACTACTGTCACAAACCACACCCGACAAAGGTTTAAGAGCTGTGGTCGCTCTAATAGGTTCCAGGTCTTCACACCCTTCGACTTGGCAATTTCACCTCTAAAAATTAGAACGGACCAAGGCAGTATGCAAAGAAATGCATACAGGGATGTTCACTGTGGTGATGTTTACTAGAGCAAAAAAAGAGAAGCCATGTGAACATCCAACATTCAGAGGTTGGTTAAATAAATTACGGTCAATGGAATTCTAAGCAGCTCTGGTACGGGCAGCTGATCAGGCTACCTAATTGAGTAGAAAAAGCAGCTCCTACCTTTTCCCTAAGGGTAGCTATAATGAGTCTGGAAGGAAAAACTCTGAAATATGTCTGCAGTCTCTCTGTCTCAAAAGTTCATGAAAGAAATAAGTGAACGAATCTACACAGAATACTAAGCACATAGGGGTATCCCTGGTGGCGCAAAGGATTGAGTCTCAGCACTATGAAGCTATCCGCAGCCACTGCAGCACGAGTTCAATTCCTGGCCAGGAAGGTGACCCATATGGCCCAGCAGACCTCTCCTGTTTCACCTGCTGCTCCCCTCTGCAGTGTATTTCAGAAGATCTGCCTGTTGTGCTCCCTACTCTATCTCTGGTGAATCCTCTCACCCCTCGTACCTCTGACCTGCACCCCAGCTATTATATACATAAATAAATAAATCTCTTAAAAAAAAAAAAGTACAATTAGCACATAGAGTAAACACTCAATAAATGACAGGGACAGTTTTAGCAATCTTTTTTTAAAGATTTATTGATCTATGATAGAAGAACTGGGGTACAGGCCAGAGGTGCAGGGGGTGAGAGGATTCACCAGAGACAGAGTGGGGAGCAGAATAGGCAGATCTACTGAAATGCACTGCTGAGGGGAGAAGCTGGTGAGAGTCTGCTATGCCATGTGGGTCAACTCCCTGGCCGGGGATCAAACTCAGGCAGTCCAGCTGATAGCATTGAGACTTTACCCCTAGGCCACCAGAAAGGTCCCATTTCTGGGTTTTTTTGTTTTTGTTTTTTGTTTTGTTTTGTTTTTTGGCTCAGTTTTCCTTCGAGAAACAGATCTCCTGGCACCTTTGGTCTATTGATCATTGAGAGCAGTGGTTCTCAACAAGGTGTGATTCTGTCTCTGTGCAGAAATTTCTGGTTGTCAGAATTTGGAGAGAGGAGAGAGAGATAGAGAGAGGCATCCGATAGAGAGAGGCCAGGGCTGATGTCATATAATGCACAGGGCAGCCCCCACCACAAAGAACTGCTCCAGTTTCAGACGCCAACAGAACCTGAGTGGAGAGACCCTGATCTGGTGAGAGCTGGCACTGCAATGCCTTTCGGATTTCTTGCATCTTATCCTCGACCCGCTTCTTCTTTTTTTTTTTTAAAGATTCATTTTATTTATTTATGCATACAAGAACTATGGTATCAGCCAGAGGCATGGGGGGAGGGGAGAATGAGAGGATTCACCAGAGACAGAGTGGGGAGCAGAACAGGCTATGTACTGAAATACACTGCTGAGGGGAACAGGGGGGCTGACAGGAGAGATCTGCTGCACCATGTGGGTCACCTCCCTGGCTGGGGATAGCTTCATAGTGCTGAGACTTAACCCCTTGTACCACCAGGGAGGCCCTCAACCACTTCTTTTGAGAGAAACACACCACCCAGATGATCTGGGTGACCAGAGATCTAGACAAAGCCCTGGTATGAGAGCTGACAGCACCTCTCCTGAGTCCCAGAGAAAAGCCACTGGCTCCAGCACCCTCTAAAACTTAAACTCTCAGGAGAAACTCTCTCCCCAGAAAAGCATAAAGCCTCAAAATAGATGATCACTTTTTTTTTTTCTAGAGTGCTAAGAATTAACCTCTGTAGGTCAACCCACTGAGGCGCCTGTATAAATAGCGCTTCTGTCAACAGATGTGACACCCACCCCCCATCCCCATCCCTAGCTCACAAGGCTCACAGCAAAGGACAAGGGTCCTTTGAAATCAGGGAAAGGGAGGAGAAGCTCTTTAGCCCTGGCTCCAGATCACTGCTGGTTCCAGCTGTCACCATCCCTTTTCCCCTAAAGCCAGACAGAGAATCATAGCAAATGAAGGTGGCGCCCAATTCAAGAGTGATGGGCAACTTTGCTGAAGACGAGGAAAAGGCCACAGAGCTAAACATGCAGTTTCTCCACCTAGGCACCACTAACATTTAGGGCAGGATCAATTCTTCATGGTGGGAGCCATTCTGTGCATTGGAGGGCGTTTGGCAGCCTCCCTGGCCTTCACCCACCAGATGCCAGGAGCACTCCCCAAACTACCCCCCTCCCAGTGTCACAACCCAAAATGTCTCCAGACACTGCCAGATGTCAGCTGCAAAACTACCCACAGATGAGAACCACCAGCTTAAACAGATTTTGACTCTTTCCTGGGGCAAGCTGGCTCTGCTCTGCCAAAGCTCACAGAACCAAAAGGAGAGAAAAACTGTCACAAAAACTGTCTTCTCAATGCCGAACAAAGCCCATGAGTTTCCAAGGCCCTGCCTGGAGATTCAGCATCTCAGTACCAAACTGTGATACTGAAAATAAGAATATTTTGTACATTCAACAAGTATCCAGGTACCTTTCAGACACTGGCAATGCAGAAGTGGGCGTAAAAGACCAAGACCCTGCTCTCATGTGGGTCATCCAGGTCTGAGACTCCTGCAAACCAAGCAATCGCACACACTCAAACACCAATTAATCACCTGGTATGAGGAGCCAAAACTGGAATTTAGTAACAACCACTCCCCCAAAAGCTAAGAACTGCTCGGCACCTCACTGACACTCACCCCCTCACTGATACCTAGGAGCTCGGCATCTCCATTTCACAAATGGGGACCCAGAGGCTCAAGAGGTGGAGAAGGAGACCTGAGCTATGACTCCATGTGATGCCACCACTGCTCACAGCCCTGCATGAACTGCTGCCATGACACGCCCCGATCACTGGCCGGGGTAGTGAGGGACCGCCCTGGTGTGAGAGTGCTCAGGTTCTGCCAGTTAGTTTTAGCTGGACTCTGCCCCCAGATGGGACTGTTGTCTTCCTGTAAGGCCACTGAGAGAACCAGCAGGGCGGCGGGACACTGGATAAGCCCACACAGCAAAGGAAAAATGGAGGCTCAGGTTGCACCCTTTACCAGGACCTGAGAGGCAAAGGGCAGGGACGGCCAGTAGTGTCTTCCATTTCCCATTTTTCATTCAGGGCTTGGGCTGGGCTGAGGGCAGGAAGGAAGGAGAGCGTGAACCTGGCTGAGGGACCACCTCCCCCAGGGCTCCCAGGACCTTCCTGGACATGACATCTAGCGAGGGAGTCATGACGAGCACTGAGCACCATCTGCCTGAAATCACCCTGCAAACAACACCGCTCCCCCTCTCCTGACCCCTGTACTAACGGGTGGGGAGACTTTAGGTGATTCTTCCCAGAAAGGGGCCTTGCATTTCACCACTCCATGTTCAAAACCCTCCTCACCCTGCCAGGCATCCCGCCCTGGAGTCTGTGTGTGGTTGGGAGGGGCGTCCTTTAGTCTAGGACGGGGGAATTCTAAGGGAAGAAGCGCTCACAGTGTTCGACAGAGGGAGGCCGGGAGAACTGAAGCAACAGACGAGGTTTACGAAATGGGCGGATTCATGTCAAGGGGAAGGATGTTCTGAAAGGGGAATGACAGGGTGCGGGACGAAAGACTTTGGGGGAGAAGAGGTGGCAGGCTTGGGGGGACACAGAAAACTGCAGAATTAAGGCTGGAAGAGCAGGGAGATTTGGGGGGAGACGGATGACTGGAGGCGCACAGGGAGCGGAGATGAGAGGCAGCTTTAAAGAAAATGCTGGAATGTGGGGTGTTCGGGGAGAGGGCGTGTTGGGGTGTGTGGGAAGAGGTGGAAGACGTGACATGCTCGGGAGCGACTGGATTTAGGGTGATGCGGGGTAGGGGAAATTTGGGGTGCTTGCAGGGTCGGGAATCTTGGGTGCCGGGAAAACAGGATTTGGGGTGCGCAGGAGGGAAATGGTTTGGGGTGAAGCGGGGTAAGAGGGACTCGGGAGCTTCTGCGAACCAACTCCCCCTTCGCCCGGCTCACCGAAGAAGGGCGGCAGGTGGGCCACCGCCTCGAGGAAGGGCCCGGTCTCGATCTGCTTGTCCGCGGGCAGCGGCTTCAGCAGGTGCTCGGCCAGCAGCGCCATTTCGGGGTCGAGGCCGGCGGTGATGCCCCAGCCAGGGCCGTGGGGATCCACGCCGCCCCGCGGGCCGCCGCCGTCAGCGCTGGGGCCCTCACCCCCGCCCGCCGCCGCAGCCCCGGGAGACGCCAGCGTCGCCACTTCCGCCCGCGCCGCGCCCGCGTAGCCGAGCGCTCAGCGCCGCCCTCAGGCCGCGAGCCTAAGCGGCCCTCCGAGCCGCCCCGCCTCCCGCCACCCGCGTCCAATCCGCGCCCGCCGCCGCGCCCGCGCGTCCAATCCGCGCCCACCGCCTCCGACCTGCGCGCCGCCATTGGCCGGGAGGCGGGGTCAGTCAGCCCGACGAGGAAGCGCGCGGACGCGTGGGTCCCGGCCCGCCCCTCGGAGCCGCTCCCAGGTGAGTCGCCCAGGTGTGCTTCCTGCCGCCCCCGGCTTGGCCCCCTAACCTGGCCGGGCCGGCTCGGGCCAGCTTTTCGATTGATGAGGGCGTGGAGTTGCCCAGACCACATCGCACGACTCACCCACCCGCCCACATGACAAACCCAACCCACCTGGCGCCTTGCGGGACACCTGTTTTCCCCCAAACAAAGCTTGGCCTCTTAAGAGCCCCAAGTCACCTGTTGGACACTGCCTGGGTGCCCGTTCTCTCTAGCTGCAACCGGGGACGATTATTAATTCTTTGCCTTCAGTTATCTTACTCCTTATTCTTACACCTGTTGGACACTGCTCAGGTGACAAATTAACTCAGCTGTTTCTAACTGGGAACCCTGTGTCCCGAAATCTGGGGTCCAGGCCAACCGCAACTGATGTTACCTGATGGGCCCAGTTTACAATCCAGCTCAGTCATCACCTGACTGGGGACTTGTTTCTCCAAACCTAACCTTAGCCCACCTCCACGCCCATACAGGCTGACCACAACCTGGAGCACTGTTTACCTCAACCACAACCCACCCAGATGCTTGTGCCCTGAAACCTAATACCCAGATTCACCATAAATCTAGCACACTGCTGCTGAGAGCTTCTTGTTCACTTCTGAAGAAAAATTCATTGTGCCCCTACTTTGTGCCATGCACTGTGCTAGGCATTGAGGACAAACAGTACACAAAAGCCCTGTTCTTCTGGAGATGGCATTCTTGTTTGGGAGAAACATAAATGCAATACACACATAAAATAATTTCAGACTCTGATAAGTGTAAATGAAGAAAATAACACAGAGAGAGGGTGGGGATGGCTGAGGGCATGCCTGAGATGGGCTGTGGGGAGGGACATAGGTACTTAAGGACAGTAAGTCACCTATGAAGAGGTGACATTTGAGCTGAGATCTAAAGGAGAAGTAGGAGACAGCCAGAGTGGCTGGGTCATGTGCAAAGGGCTGAAGGTGGCAAAGAGCTTGGTGTGTGCAACTAACCAGGGGAGCCAGGGCAGGGAATGGGAGCAGAGTGATAGAGTCGGTATGCAGAAGCATGTCGGATTAGGTGGGGAATGGTATGGAGTTTGAATTTTATTTTAAGGACAGTGAGAAGTTGCTAGTGCCAGACAAATAATTACCAAACTTACCAAATATTTTCAATTTAATCTTCAGGGGCAGATGGGAAAAGAAGTTATTCCAAGCCAAGGGCATGACCCACATAAAGCCAGGAAGTAAGAGGGCCGGGGGAAGGCAAAGCCATCATCATTCTTGGTCCTAACCCAACACCTGACATGCCCCATCAAGTCAGATCTCCTAGTGATAGGAGTCCACGCCATCAACTCTGGCTTGTTCCCACCGCACCCAACCTCACCACCTCAGGCATCCTAAGATATCATCTTCTTGAAGCCTCACTAGCCCACCCACCACCCTCACCCAGTGCCAGAACCCCACCCACCTTTCAAACACCTCCATCAATTCCACAGAGACATCACAACCCACAAGGAGACCTCCAGCATCAGACGACACCCTGATTTCTCATCTTGCTCCTTTGCAGTCAAACCACCCAGAGACTGTGGCTGAGACAAGAAATTCAAGTCTATAAGAATTGTCTTGGCATAGAACATGGGTTTGATGTGCTGAAAGAGTTCCATGTTCTGGGCTACTAGAGAATCTTGAAAGTTCATGCATCCATCCATCCACTGACAATGCTTTAAGCATCTGCTCTAGGGGAAATTCCCATAGCTGTGATGGGGTGGAGCTGGGACCAGGGGCCATACTTAGCTCCCGTGACCTGGACCTTACTGAGTGAGGAGTGGCTGATGGGAACTGTGGAGAACTGGGTGGGCACAAGACCCATCTCCAGGGCACTGCCCAGGTTGTTCATTTTATGTATTTCTCGAGAGAAGTCAGAAACCTGGAGTTGAGGGCAAAATCTCTTTGATTTTTTTTGATGTGGGCAACGAATTAAAAATAAAAAACCACTATGTAAGCCACACAAAACATTTCATTTTCTTGTGACACAATCTCAAAATTACAGGAAAGTTATGCTATGCTTCAAATAAATTTATTCCTGAACTATTTGAGCCTAAGCTGCTGACAGAATGCCCCATCACCCTAAATATTTTTAATGTGGGTATCCTACGAACGGGATGTTCTCCTACAGATCATAATTTCTCCATCATTGTGGGACATGGACCCAGATACAAAATTTATTACCTAGACCTCATTCAAGATTCAAGATTCACCACTTGTCCAAATAATGTCCTTCATAGATAAAGGGTCTATTTCAGCTTCTCATGTTGCTTGTAGTTGTCCTTTCTCTTGAATCTCCAATCTGGAATGTTCCACAGACTTTCTTTGACTCTCATGATTTTTTATACACTTTTGTACACTTTCAAAGAGTCAGGGCGGTTACTTTGAAGAACATCCCTCAGCTTAGATTTGTTTCATGTTTCCTCATGATTAGATTTAGGTCATCTATCTTAGATTAGATGCAGATTATAGATTCTGAGCATCATGAAATGTCACCGGCGTGATGCAGGATCCTCATTGCTTCATAACAGATATGACTTCAGTTTGTTCCAAAATTGATGATGCTAAATTGGATCACTCAGAGTGATGTAGCCCAGGCTGCTGCTCTGTGAATCTGCTCCTTTCCTTTTTGAATTTAATATTTCATAGAGAGATAAATATTTCATCTTTCATCAAACTCTCCATTTATTTATTTACATCAGGACAAACTCGTGATTCTGTGGGCTACAATTCATTACTGCTATTTATTGGCAACCCAAAGTCATCCTAGATTTGGTCTGTGATAGTCCCTGCCATTTCTGTGTTCTTTTGATTTGTCAGAGAACAGTCCAGGCTTCTCGTATATTTTACCTGACTTAGCCCCCAAATCAGACATTTCTCCAAAAATCCCAGGTTCCCTTTAGTGGAAATGGTATTTAGAAACAAAGATCTAGAGGTGTTATTGTTACTGAGGTGTCACTGCTCCTTGATTGTCTCAGTGGAAAGTGTTACACACACACACGCACACACATTTATATTTGTTTATTTCTAGTGGTTTCTGTAGTCATCTATCTTGAAAACTGTGAGTTCACCCTAAGCAATCCAATCCCCCTCTACATCCATAGAGTTCATTCTAATTTTTCCCCTTTCCATATTGGTGACTCCCTTTTCCCACCTGGTGTTCTCATTATTTCTTTTTTTTTTTTTTTTATAGAGGCATGTTTTCTTTATTTATTTGTTTGCTTGTTTGTTTGTTTTGTTTATACATGCACTGGGTACAGTCAGAAGCGCGGGAGGGTGAGAGAATTCTCCAGAGCCAGAGCGGGGAGCAGAGCAGGCAGAAGGACCGAAGTACACTGCTGAGGGGAGCAGCGGGCGGCAGGAGAGGTCTGCGCGCCATGTGGGACCCTCCTCCGGTGGCCGGGGAGCAGCCGGGGATTGAACCGTCGCCGTAGAGGCCGTGGGCAGCTTCGCAACCCAGCGCTCTACCGCTGCGCCACCGGGGAGGCCCACTCTCATTATTTCTTAACAACAGGTTTGTATTTGACCAACCCTCTGTATATAACATTTTCTTGCTGATGCCACCCTCTCCCCAGATTAATGCCCCACTCAAGCTCTGACACCCCTAATCAGGCTGCCCACTCACATGGGCTCTGGCCACTCATGCTGGGAACTCGCTCCAGGCAGACACTCTTCTCATTTGGATGCTGGCACCCCTCTTTGGACCTCATGTACCCTCCCACCTCCTACATTGATGGTGCTTCCTTTGCTACATCCCACTGAATGACTTTTGGATTGAATTGTTCCAGAAGGGAAGGGAGAAGAAGACAGAGGAGAGAAAGAGAAGGGGGGAGCCACATAAACCTTTGGCAAGCTCATTTTAACTATAGACCATCAGCTCCCTGCTTTAGCTTACTGTGGTGAGCAAACATGTACACATTCAATTCATAATTGTTGAGTGATTCCTTCGGACCACAAAGGGCAGTTGATTAAATCAACAATAAGTACATGTTGTGGGGGGGAAAACCATCAGACACGAGGAGTCCACCTCATCTTTTTGGATTGTTGAGAATCATACTTGCTGCTTTATTTGAAACCCCCCTCCCAAGTCCATTTGCAGGACCAGCTTGGCCAGCAAAGTTAATTCTAGTGGCTGGGACTGACTCAGTGGGAGTGAGGTGTTTAGCCTGCAAAGTTTCATCATTTTCCTCAATCACCTCCACCCAATGTTAATAGCTGCTTCCCAAACTGAGTCATCAAATCCTGAGTACTCAGACTGCCTCTCCCAAACAGGGTTTGTTGGGATGGATAAAGTAGGCCAAGTTTATAGGCTTTTTGATCCAATAACTTCACCTTGTAACTCAGCCTCCCCGCATGCAACATGGCAGTAATAACAAGTAATATTTTTTGAGTCCTCACTGTGTTTACAATCCCACACCTTCACTTTCTAGCTGTGTGTCTGTGACCAAGTCACTTCCCATATGAATTTCCTGTGGCTGCTGCAATAAATGCATTTATTGAAATAAATGCAATCAATTTAGGAGCTTAAAACAACTGTAATATATTCTCTAATAGTTCTGGAGGCCAGAAATCCAAGATCTGTAATCAATGGGGCAAAGTCAAGGTGTTGGGAGCACTTCTTGTCCTGGAAAGTCTCTCCAGGAGAACTGTTCCTCTCCTCTTCTAGCATCTGGCAGC